GCCAACTCACACAGACAGCCGACCCGCTGATGCAGACGCGTGGCTTTGCCATGACCTGACTGGTGACTGTTGTAACTTCCCCAACCACTTCTACGTTTCCTCTCTCGGAATTGAAATCACAGACAGGGAATCCTACCCAAGGTTTAACTGTAACATCAGTGAACCTCAGATTCATCTGGGATCTCAAATAGTTAGTTCGTCTGTCAGGTCTAGCCTTTTTCTCCACCTCGCGTCACCGCAACTATTGCTCGCTGGTATTATATCCCCTTTGGTGCTCAGGCCCATTGTTGCATCTTCTCCTTCTCCCTAGTCGCCCAGCAGAACCAAACAGATGAAATGGGTTTGCCTGAAGGCCCGTGCAGTCAATCACATCTGTCACAACTTCCGTGTCTCCAACGACCGGAGTGGCAGGAGTTTATTTGACGATACCGGTGTACAGCTCAGTGCCATGCCTCCCATAGCAACCGACCGCCAAATACCCGGCCGCTTCCTCAAAATTGCCAGCACTCCCCCGATCGCCACCTTGGTTTTCTGTTTCCTTACCCTAGATATTGGCTTTCAGTGCCCTTTTCCTGCGTTTTTCTCGTTGCTATCGTCGCCTGTGCTTTTTATGGTGCCATATTCCCTGCCATTTCGTTAATATGGTCAATAGCCAGCTTGAACGTCTTTGCGATCAGGCCGTCAGTCTCACTGTCCGGTGTATTCCTCCTTCTGTGATGTCGTGTTGAATGGGGGTCCAGACCCAGATGGTGGGCTTTTACTCCTTCTCGCCAAATACTTCAAACCTACCCATCCCAGTATCGATACCAGATCCTTACTGCGGAATTCCGTTCATCACGTCCGTGTCACTGGTCATCCAGTACATTTTTCGACCCGATGTCTCCCTGCCACACATCTGGGCGCTGTCTGTCGGGAAACCTTTTGGCCTTTAATCCGCACATATTCTTCAGGGCTGCAATGATTGACTGGCAAACCTGCAGAGACTACCGGGTTGTGTCCGAAATGACCATCCTTGGCTGCCTTTTCGTCCACTTTCTATAGGCCCTCTTTGCGACATTATTCAGCACTCCGTTCTCCTTCAAGGTGGCCTGATTCGAGAATTCTGCCAACTCACCTCCTCACCGGAGAACGTTTCGTATTTGTCCGTCCCCATAGCTTTAATATCCTAGAGTTCCTATGGCTGCCTTTTGGACTCTGAAAAACTTCCCATAGGTCGGCAGAAAGCGTGCTTTATGGTTTGCCCTTTTAGAGTTGCGAAAACTCCCCTAACGGTAATCAGAGGACGATGTGGCGAGCATACGTAGATTTCGATAAATTCTCGTCGGGCCAGTAAAGTTATACGGGAACGGGGTAGAAGTAAAACATGTCAGCAATAAGAGAAATCGACAAACTTTCTCCTTAAAACACAGACGGAGTGGGGTAATATGGGGGAGGGGGATGGGGGTAATAGCAGTCAGTGTCAGGGCCAGAGTGAGAGCGGAAGGGCGCGGAGAGTTGCAGCGTAAACGGGTATCCTGAAAGGTTTATTGCAAAGAACACTGCCGAACGACCGATCAAACCCGTCACACCGTACGCCGAAAAGAAGACTTTGTTACTCAAGGTCCCTTTCCACGGGGACGCTGCGAGTGAACTCCTAAGGATACGCCTTGATCAAACTGTCTCGTGAACCCTCCCCGTAGCAAGAGTTCAAATATCATTCTCTAATAAACCGATTTTACGCGGAGAAGATAAGGATAAATTTCCACCGCAGACCACCTCAATGTGCATATATTCCTTCACTTGCTCCTGTGGAGCAGGTTATATTGGTTGAACGAGTCGGTGCTTATCCAAGAGAATACGGGAACACCTTACCGCATGACGGGCAAAAAGTGAAACTAGGGGAATAGATAGCGCCATTTTCGCACACGTTGTCGATTCCGGACATCGTGTGGACACCAACGAACCTTTTTGTGTAGTTTATAAGGTGCCATCGAGCTACCCTAAGCTACTAATCCAGCGCCTGTTAGCGACAGCGGAAGCGGCCGCCAAAAGGCTACGAAAGCCAGTCTTATGCGCACCGAAGAATCACGTGCAGGCTCAGCGCCTACAGTTGTAGGAGGTCGACTAATGCTGCAGCTCTGCGCGCACTCCCGCTCTCACCCCGCCCCTGACACCGCTATTACCCCCACCCCCTTCCTCCCCCACATTCCCACACGCCGGCTATGTTTTAAGGAGAACTTGTATTGATTTCTCTTATAGCTGACATGTTTACTCCTACCCCGTTCCCATATAGCTGTACTGGCCCAACGATAATTTGTCGAAAGCTACGTATGCCCGTCACCTCTTCTGGTTTACCCATTGTGGACACCTATTCTGGCGACTTCCTACTGATAAACTTTACCGTCGAAGAATACGTGGAGCATCTTTCCATGGTGTTTGAACGTCTTAAATAACACCGGATGGTCCTTAGACCGCAGAAGTGTCTCCTAGATGACCCGCCTCCGAATTCCTTGGACGACTGCGGCTCCCGTCAAGGGTCTTAGCCATCCGCACATTTCTGTTTCCACTTCCAAGCATCAAATACAGCGTGCTTTGAACTTGATAAACTTCCACCACTGGTTCTTCTCAAAATATGTATACACCACCGAGTCAACCACGAACCACCTATCGTGTCCCATGGGTTCGCTCGAACTCTCCGGAAATGTCCTCATCGCTTTTTATAAGGTGAATGCTGCCTTGGCCGACAACACCCTCCTGGCCCGCTCTGCTTCCGACGCACCTGCTTATCTCATGGTCAATAACTGCAGTGTCACAGTCGCCACGATTCTTTGGCACCACCTTAAGAGTCAGACCTGGCCCGAGTTTCCTTTTCTAGAATGTTAGTTTTCGCGGATTGCGAGACCGCACATTTGGGCGGTAGCTTCGGACCGTATACTTAGTCGCGAAACATCTTTGGCACCTTGTTAAGAACAGGAACCTCATTGTATTCACGGACCACAAACCTCTCTCCCTCACTCTCCGGTCGCACACTAACAAGCTCAAGCCTCGGAGGATTCGCTAACTGGTCTATGTCTTTCAATCTACCCCTGATAGCCGCCTTATTGCTGGGTCGAGAAATGGGGCGGTCGACACCCTTGCCCGATCCTCCATCCACCCAACTAAGATGTTTGAGTATCAACGCCGCATCCCTTCCAACTGTGAGGAGGATGTCTCCAGACTCCTACTGCGAGGCAAATCTCAGACCACTGTCAATGACATCATTCTCTGCAATGTTTCCACCGCCTCCCATCTCCACAACATATCTGACGCGGGGAGTTGAGCTTCTGCCGACATGGTCTCCAGCTGATTTGTCCAACCTAGTATTTTCTATGGCGTTAACGCTTATGCAGGAGCGTGTCTCGGTTGTCATGGGAGGAAGGCCAAGGGACAAAATGGGACTCATCGTAACACTGTTTTCAGTTTATGGGAAAGAAATTCGATCGCTGGAACAAGAGCTTCATTTGCCTGACGTTTCAGATCCACGCCCGAATCCATCATCAGAGACAATATCAGATACGGTGATTTATAAAGAGTAAGTTGAAGTATTTGTAGGATGCAGTCGCTATCCTACTGCATACCTATGATAATTGACGACTTCTCCCCCCTTTATCGTGGATGATTGCCCGCTGGTGCGCTAATTGTCTGATGGCCAACTTGCAAGTCGTTACTCGTTGGAATTTAAACGCCCTTGTTGGATGTTGACGTGATGATTGTTCGGCCACCTGACTGATTAACCATTTGAGGACGTTCTCCTCAGAAGAAAGTCAGATCAGGCGTCAGCACTATTCACGCTTTTTGTGAAAACCAGCAATTTTGATGGTAAAGTATTTTCCTGGTAGATCAAAATGGCTACAGTAATTATCACGGATGAAAAAGCTTCTTTAAGGTCGTCTCTACATGGGGTACTTGTGAGTGCACTGTGGAACCAACTAATTTTACTGAGTTTGATGAGCCATGTCTCTCAGAATTCGATAAGACTTGCGTGTGTGACATTATTATGCAAAAATACATAAGTGAGACAATTAGTCGCTTTCTGCTATACCAAGTTCACTGAGGGGCAGTCAGGGAACTAGACTACCTTCCTGATAGCTTATCAGAATTTTGTGGTGAATTCTTCTTCCGAGAGCATTTTGAATGATTATTTGCTGTTCTGGTATTTGACATGACTTTTCATTTCGGCATTAGTCGTTGCAGAATTCATCCATATATTGTAAAAATAAATATTGTTATTCCTCTTAGCAGACTACAATGCATCTTGTGCCGCGGGCCTATCGCGTTTTCCTCCTCGAAACACTTATATTCTTTTTGACGAAAATAGAGGCCGGTATTTACTCACAGAATTCTTTTGACTGGCTGACAACTGTTCGCTAACAAAATATCCCTTTTCAAGTCTGCCTGTGTGTCTAGTTCACTAAGGGGCAGCCAGAGGGCTAGACAGCCCTCCTGACAGCTTGTCAGAAGATTTGAGCATTTTTAATATTTATTTTTGTTTTGATATTAGACACGACTTTTTTATTTTGGTGCTGCTTGTTTCACAATTAATGTATTTACTGTGAAAATCAGTAACATTATTCGTCTTAGCAGCATACAATGCAGCTTATATCATAGACCCCTCGCTTTATTGGCTTCCTCCTCAAAACACTCGTTTTCTGTTTGACGAAAACAGAGGCCGTTATTTATTCACAGTAATCTTTTGACTGGCTTCCAACTTTTGGCGAACAACGAAGCCCTTTTAAGCTTGCCTGTTTGTTAATGTTTAGAAGTCCTAGGCGCCGTTCTCACTCGTCATCAACTACAGATGAACATGCGCGAGATAAGGCGGGCTTGGACCGGGA